GGTCGACGCCCCCGCAAGGAGAAGAGAGCTTCGACTTCGCCATCTTCCTCCGACGCACTAACCGTGAGAGAGAAGGTTGCATCGGGTGTTGTATGGAGTCGATGTTGGTTCGGATGACCGGGAGCGCGGGATCTTGCCCGTGTTCATCACCTACCTCCGATCGTCTCATCTCGCTACCAACCTTCCCCATCACAGATGACGACAGCGTCTCTTGCGATGCGGACGTACGACGCCCGCTGAGGCGAACGGAGCAAGTGTGCTGGCGAGACCCGCTTCGGGCTTGTGATATAAGGGGGAACGGTTTTGTCTTGATTGAGTGTTTTGATTCCCCGACTCTAATATTACCTTATACAGGTTTGACTGTGCTACCGTGGTCGGCCGCTCACGCCGCGTGGCGGCCGCAGTTTGATTGTCGCTGGTGTCGCCAGGGGGACTCGTGTTCTTGGCGACGACTGGTCCTGGGTTACGAGGGAGCGACAAGTTTCCCCGAGCTTTCCCGTAGTGCGGGGGCGCTGCCCGCGCAATTTCGAATTCGGACGCCGGCGAGTCCTCCCGCCGCTTCACCCTCTCGGGAACTTCCGCGCGGACTTTGCGAGTCCGACGCCGAGGCGTGAAGGCCTCGAACCAACCACCTCTACAGCAACAACCCGACGGTCCGGTCACTTCGTGAGGCCGATGACGAGGCCTGAAGGCTTCGAACCCCCTACCTATCCCCCTAACCCACGACGGCCGGAGTTTCTGTTTTCTGCCGCCATGGCCCTTTCCCCTTGATGCCTTTTCCCGTCCTGATACACGGCGGCAGTTCGTTTTTGCGGAAACCTTCCTGATTTTATCGTTCGGAGTGATCCGACCTCCGCGGGACTTCGCGACGACAGTTCGACCCCGGGGAAAACCTCTGGCACGAAATGAGGGCCTCCCGTTCCGTCCGGGAGACTCAACCCTTACGGCCAAAAATCCTCGGCCACGCCCCTCCTAGAACTCTGATCGGCGACCCCGTACGGGAAGCCGCGAGGGGGCGTGAGGTTGTGTATCACAGCAACACCTAATATTTATCCCATTGTCAGTCCCATTCTGAAAAATCGGTCAAATGCATGACCCACCAATCCCAAATTCTCCTCGACACTGGGCAGTCCTACTATGATAGGACCTGGTGGGCTGTGGACTCAAACTACCAATACCTTTCCCTACTTCGAAAACAATAGGGTGGCGAATTCGGGCACTGAGGTCCAGGCTCGCTGCGAAATGGTTGGCGTTGGCGGCCAAATACATCCGTTACGGCTCTATTTTCTGCGGTGCGCAGAGCAAGTTCGGGCCCGCAGCTGATATATGAGAAATGTACTCGTGGTTCAAAAGGCAAAAAAGTTGAAACACACCTGCTGCAAGCAATTCGGATTTCCATTTTCTTCCCTGCCAGCCAAGTTGCCAATGGTGTTACTTAAAGGGACAATCAAAGCAGAGCTGCATGCTTGTGAGACCGCAGCATCTTGAGTTGTGACCATGACAGTCGTTTCATACTTCTAGTTATTGTTTCACCCGTACGGACCGTACCCACTAACGAAACATCCCATCTCTGTGCAGCCACTGGCACTCTGACGGGCAGATTGGCTCAGCCTGGAAGAATTACTTCCGATGTACACTTCTCCAACATAGGTACCACAGCGTACGGAAGCCTCGCCAACCCCAAGCGTACAGAAGCCCCATGCGTACGGAAGCCTCGCCAACCCCAAGCGTACGGAAGCCCCATGTGTATGGAGGCCTCGCCAACCCCAAGCTGCGAGGTCCAGTCTGCATTCCGCAATCCGTATGTCTGAAACTAGGGAAGCATGAAGCACTTCCTCTTTGGGCGTCGTTAGACACTCCTTAGGACGTCCTCGTGATCCAAGGACGAATCCTCGGGAAGATTTTAGAATTTTGGCGGCGGCGTTCCACCTATCCTCGGAGCGCTGGCTTTAGGACTTCCTAAGAGCTATGTCAGGAGAGGGAAAAAAAAAAAAAAAAAAAAAGCAGTTGTCATTCAGGCTTTCAGCCAATAAACCGCCGCCACGATCCGGTTTCTCGGTTGTAATGTTGTAATGTACCACTACATGCATGCCCTCTCCTCTCCTTGGGCTCCAAGTGACCTTGGGAGGTCCCTCGGAGCCCAGGAAGGAAGATTTGGCTGGGAAATCCTCGGAAATCCTTGGAGCCAAAGGATTTGTCCTCGGACTGTTTTCACATTTAGTTTCCGAATCGGGAATTTTTCCGAAACGCCCCTCCCACTTCCATTTATTTGCGGTATGCCCCTCCGACGGCCGACTTACTCTGTCGAGCCCCTGGGGCCTTGGAAGTTCCCTGCAGGCCCCTGTCAGTGAGGGGTGCAACTTTCCGGCCTGCCTGTGGCCGTTGGTGGCACTCGCGGCCTTTCCCCTGACCCTGGGAGGGGAGCTACCGGGGCATACTGAAATTCGGAACCAGTCCGGTAGGGGCATATTGAACATATTTCAGGCCCAAATGATGCCAGGGGTTTTTCAGAAACTTCAATGTTGTCCCGACAGGGTAAGGAGGCCGTCACAGGGGCATACCGCAAATAAATGGAAGTCGGAAGGGCTTTCCGAACATTTTCCCTTCCAGATTTCATCTCTAGAGGACAGGTGAAATGGCATCCCCGAGACGGCGAGGAGTGACTAATGATGCTCTTTCGCCCACTGCTCATGAACTCTGACCTGTTTCAATGGTATGCCGAAGGGAGGCTGAGTCTCTTCCTCCTCCAAACATAGCTGCACCGAATGAGGCTTCCAGGGGCCAAGTCCCACGTAACCCGATTCTTCATTTCTGGCCGCTGATCATTGTAATCTACGGTCAGGAGTTGGGAATTCGGGTAGGCTTCCGGGGGCCAAGTCCCACGCACCCCGATTCTTCATTTCTGGCCGCTGATCATTGTAATCTACGGTCAGAAGTTGGGAATTCGGGTAAGTGGAACTCACTTGGCCCCGGAGCCACTTCTGAAAGTTTCTGGAGCCATCAGCACGGTGACCGTAGGAGATCAATTTCCAATAGGGTTTGAACTACGTCACCTGAGCCTTTCTTTTTCTTTTTTTTTTTTCCCCGGCTGGGCTTGGACTTCTTTTTAATGTGAGACAATTTACAAAATACTCCCATAAGTTGCGATATATGCCAAAATGCCCCTAAAAGATGTGGGTAGAGCGGAATACCCCTCTGACAAAAGAAATATTTTGTGTAATACCCCTTGCATCGGTTCGACTCCCATCTTCCCAATATACCCCAGCCGGGGACCGTCCAACTTTGCAAAATG